ACTGAAGAGTATCAAACCAGTTAAAATGGTTTTTGTTTTAGGAAATAATAACAAACGACTACCCACAGATAGCCAGAAACAAAATTAACAAAAGTTGTAAGTTTGTCTTTTTAAATGTCTATTAAAAGTATTTTGAACTAATGGCACGAATATTAGGCGACGTACTAGTACTCCAGAACATCAACCTAATTTCATCTGCTATTTTGATATTAATTACAGTTGCATCGAAGTTTCGGGTTAGCATATTACTATTACCATTAAGTCAATGTATGTAAATTACTGAAGTCAAACGTCTTCAGCTTTCACATTGGTGCTAGTGTCATTGGTGCATCATTGTTTATTTCCCACGTCAGTAGTAGTTTCAAAATGTCATCTGACAGAGTACTGCGAAGTAGGGACACCACGAGCGTAGCTCTCGTCCTGTAACTACCCTTGCGTAATTATACTCGGGTAATGATCTTTTCGGTAATTACGTCCATAGGGGTGGACAGGCACTCACTCGGTAAGGAGGAGGGAAGCATGGAGGACACAAGGGATACTATTTCTTCATGACACCCGCCTTGCCCAGTGCCAGACAGCAGTAAGCCCAGAAACAGTTTCAAGGTTGGCACACACATCAACATACAATCACACCTCACGATACTACACCTTTTGAACATGTGATCATCCCAAGGCAGGCACCCATTTGAACATGTCCTCAAAGTAAACATGCTACAAAGTGAACAATCACCTCAGTTTAGACACTCATTTGTCACAACAATCACCTCAAGGCAGTCACTCATCGTAACAATCACTTGAAGGAAGACGCTCACTGGACGTAACAGTCAACTCAAGGTAGACACTCACTTGACATAACAATTGCCTCAAGGGAGACATTCACTTGACAAAACAATCACCTTCCGGTACATGCTTACATGACATAAACAGCGTAAACACTCGCACCAAGTGACACCTAAAAAAGTCATCCAGACAAAGGTCTGGAGACCAACACAAGCCAATGTACAAGTTCAGAATTATCGAGACATTGTCAACTTCAAAGCCCACAAACAAATTTAAGTTATTATAAAAAAAATGTTTATACCAATTGTTGTCAAGAAATAAATACCAGGTTAGGACAGTCATCAGTTAGAAAATTTTTTACAGTTATAATAAATAATCTCTCTTGGTCTCCCACAAAATTAGTGCACAACCCGAGGTTGCACGTAAAAAAAAAAAAAAAAAATTGCATACTTCGTTTGAAGTCTTTTTTTTTTTTTTTTTTTTTTTTTTACATGGATAGTATACCGGTGAAAGTATATGCAAGATTTAGAATCCTGGACTATCTCTCAACAGCAGTAAACTCATCATTTTGGACATTAGTGCTATCTGTTTGATGGCTGCTGCTACTGCCACTGACAACGGCACAAGAAATAGCCTTAAACACAACAGCCACGTGGAAGCGCACAGATGCACCCACAAATACTGCAAGTCCTGCCAATTATATACTGTATCTGCAAATATATATACAGTACTGTATATGTTATGGCAACTCTCTTATCCTCATTTTATTATTCTGGTAAAGCAGCATAATTTCCTATAATCCACTTTTGATAGGTAAGAGTTTCCATATTTTCAATTTTCTTAAGGCGTACTCAGATCAGAGAGGATGGGCACCCTATTTTCTGAAAGCATCCTTGGATCAGAGGGGAAAATGGGCACCCCATTTCTTTATACGATAGTCTAATTTATACGTATAGTATAATATTTATACGATAGTATTTATACGATAGGAGTGGATGCTCTGTTTATTGAAGGAGTAATTCAGAGGAAACAAGTGCCCAGTTTTTGGAAGGTATACTCAGATAAAAAGGGAAATGGCCATCCATTTTCTGTTAGCCAAAGGTGTGTATGCTGTGGCAGGAATGGCTGTGGCTAGGAGGCAGGAATGGCGCGTTTGAATAAATGCGTGGCACATCTCGCCACACATTTATTCTGCCACGAGTACTTCGTGTGCGTTTCCTCCACTGACAAACTTTACATAGATCTCCTTTGATGCCCATCATCTACAAGGAATTCAAACAGATTTCTCTAAGTTGCAGTGCTGCTCCGAAGATGGAGATGACCATTACACTTGAGATATTGTGGCAGTAGCGGTGTGGTGGTGGTAGGAGAGGATGCGGTGGTTAGTGAGGACGCGGTGGTAGGCAAGAACGAGGAGGGCAGTGAAGACGCTGTGGTAGATGAAGATGTGGTGGTAGGAGAAGATGAGGTGGTAGAAGATGAGGTGGTAGGTGAGCATGCACTGGGAGGTGAGCATGTGGTGGTAGGTGTGATTATGGGGTGGAAGGAGTAATTGTTGGGGGGTACGTGTGGCTGTAAGGAAAAGGAAGGTGTAGTTGCTGGTGTATACCTGGTAGCACAAGAATATGTGGATGTGGTGGTGGTTTTTGTTGATGTAGTAGTGTGGTAGTGATGGCTGCAGTGTAGTGTAGTGGTTGAGTATTGTATTGGTGGTTGTGGTGTGTTCTGTGCAATGTGGTTTTACTTGTGGGGTAGTCTGTGCAATGGTTGCAGTGTGGTGGCATTTGTGGTTGTGATGTGTTTTGTGTGATCTGTGGTGCAGTGATGGTTGTAAGATATTGTGTAGAAGTGGTAGTGGTTATGGTGTGGTGGTTGCAGTATGGTGATGGCTTATGGTGGTTGTGGTTATGGTGTGGTAAATGTGGTGCCAGTTATGGCGAGGGAGTGGTAAGGACTCGGTGACAGTGCGATGTTACGCAGTGATACGGTACGCTACGAGTCCATATACACAGTATAAAGAACCTCTTGATTTCGAGTAAATTCACAAGTTGAAGAGGGAGAAATAGTTGCCAACGCCACACTCTGCCTCGATGAAAATGGCATGATTCATATACGGTATTTACAAACGCAGTACTGTATAAGCATCAAATGACTATCAAAATGATCAAAGCAACCCCGGCATCAAAAATAAATACCATATTGTACAATACATTTAATTCTCTCGAGAATTCATGAAAGAGCAGGTAGAGTTTGTGCACACAGGCAATGGAGAGAAGACTGTTCGGTGTAACGGAAGGAACTGTTCAGCAGCTCATTAATGGCTTCATTTAACACGCGCAGATCGTAAGGGAAATTTGCGGGAAAAATTGGACATTTGTCACATTGTTTTATGTAAGCTAGCTAGCCCACCTTAATTGTGGCATCTTTAGCCCATTACTTTATGTATAAAATAAGCAAGTAACCATCCATAAGACTATCCAGCCTACAGATCCAGCAACATTTGCACAGGCTGTATACACAAATACCGTAGTATGGTTACCCCTCAAAAAAAAAAAAAAAAAAAGTTGAATTATTGCACTAAAAAAATTACCATATAACAAATTTTGAAGACATACTGGTGACGAACATACGAACATTCTCTAGCACACATTACATAGGGTAAGAGAGTTTATGCCGTGCTATGTATATTCAGTGGTGCCTCGATTAACGAGTTTAATCTGTTCCGGCACCGAGCTCATCATGCAGAAAACTTGTCTTGTGAAACAACAACAAAACTGTCGTCGGAGATGTCCGAGAACCAGCAGGAACGCTCGTTAATCGAGGGAAAGCTCGTCAGTCGAGACATATTTTCTGCGAGTGGCTTGCTCGTCAGTCGAGACATATTTTCTGCGAGTGGCTTGCTCGTTACTCGAGGTTCCACTGTATACTGTATTATATTTATATATTACTGTATATATATTACTGTATATATATATATGTCGTACCTAATAGCCAGAACGCACTTCTCAGCCTACTATTCAAGGCCCGATTTGCCTAATAAGCCAAGTTTTCATGAATTAATGTTTTTTCGTCTACCTAACCTACCTACCTATACCTAGCTTTTTATATACCTACCTTACCTATATATATATATAGGTTATAGGGTTGGTTATATATATCTACGTTAATTTATATATTAACCTCATACATATATCATATATATATATATAATATATATATATATATATATATATATATATATATATATATATATATATATATATATATATATATATATATATACATACACACACACACATATACACACACACAGGTATATGTATTTATTTATAATTTTATTTATTTATTTATTCATTTGAGAATGAAGTGCAACAGCGCACTAATCGATGAAAATATTAACCCACCGTTTTGAAAACACGAGGAAATGTAGTGGTTATATTTGGAGCTCAAGCCAGGATGCTCTTCAACAGTCACGGCTCAAGAGAATCCCGGCTTGGGATAGAAAAATAGTCTACATTTCCTCATATTTTCAAAATAGTTGGTTATTATTTTCATATATTTATTTATTTATTTGACACACACTATATGCCTATCAAAGGCATATTCCCAAGACATATTGCGAGCTGAAACATTTTACCTTAAGATATGGTACTAATATACTTCAGCACCGAAGCATCCTATAGTGGCCGAACATTAGCATCACAGTTCTCCACAAAACGTTGCTTCTGGCAAAAGGTAAATTCAATGGGCTGTCCAATACATCTGGCAATGAATAAAATCCTTCACCCCGAGACCACAGACCATAGCTGTAGGAGATAATCGTAAGTGTAGGAGATAATGTGTGTAGTATGGGAGATGATAAAATGTGAAATTATGATAATCTCCTCCAGCTGTCTGTGCTCTCAGGAAAAATTCTTTCACCTCAAGACCACGGACCATAGCTGTAGGAGATAATCATTATTCATTGTACAATATTTAACTGATATGAAATGATTTTACATTTTATACACTTGTCCTTCAATTTAAAAACATATTATATTTCTTTCTTCAACCAGAACACAATGTATACACCAGGATATTTTTGTGAAAAGTAATTTGTTACAATATTTTTAAACTACCCTTCTCATTCTATTCCCACTTCTTAAGTCTATTCTAATGCACTTTTCAAGTCTATTCTTTTTCACTTTGCAATTTTTTTTCTAAACTTTGCAATTTTTTTGTAATTATTCAACATCAGGTAAAGAAGGTCCATGTCGCCCTTATTTCAATGAAGAGAACGAACCAGAGTCACTCGACACGTCTATTTCACTGAACCGTATCAAAATATTAACCTTTGTTTTAACAATGCTACTAGTACTTATAAAATGCAATAGCAGATTTATGTTAAGAAAGGTTTATAAATATGCATGCATATAAATTATTACACTTATATTTTTAATTAAAAGCTAACAGAGACGCATACACTATAGTTCCACTGTTGTTTTTCTCAAGCAACACGCTTACAATGGTCAGGCTTCTGTATGTATTATTGGCCTATGTTAAATATGAAATTATAAAAATATTTCTGATTATTCTAATCTGGACTTCCCCCTCCATGGCAATTGCAACAAATTCATTCTATGTATTACAATTTAATGCAAAACTTGAGTTTGTGCTCATGCTAATCACAAAATGAACTCCTCAAAACTGAATGGATAAGGAGCAAAACATTCACTTGGTGTGGATTTTCCGGTGTTTTTTCATATGGTCCCTCCTTGCAAAAGCTTTGCCGCAAAAATCACAAACATAAGGCTTCTCTCCGGTGTGGTATCTCAAGTGGACGGTGAGCTTGTATCCAGCCTTGAACTCCTTGGCACAATACTCGCATGTATAAATTCCATCCGATTTCATAATTTTTGGCTTCTTAACCTTCGGTTTTGGAGCAGCCGGTGCCGCCTGCTGGACCTCGGTACTGGCAGGGTGCTCATAAACCTCCGTACAATAAGGTATGTGTTTGGACTTTTGATGGATGCGAAGAACATCAGAGCGGCTGAACCGATCTCCACAGAAACACACATACGGCTTTTCTCCCGTGTGAGTACGCAAGTGTCGAGAGAGCTTGTAGATGGACCCAAACACTTTCTGGCATATATTACACTCTTGCTTGTTAGGATCTTCGAAGCCTTGCACATTGAGCTGCTCGGCACTGTCCATTGGCTCTTCTTTCACATTAAGACCCTCTTCCACTTTCACTTGAATTGCTGCGTCAACACACTGTTTTTCAAAAAAGTTAGGTTCCTCACTAATTATTACTGGAGTACCCATCTGCTTATTATTTTTGGCTTCCAACAACATTGCCCGGCGAACGTCTGGGTTAATCTTGTGCTTCATAGAGTGAATTTTCAAGTGATCACTTCTTGCAAATCTCTTACCACAAAAGCAGGCATACGGTTTTTCCCCCGTGTGTGTGCGTCGATGAAGAGTCAGTTTATCAGAGCGCGAGAAGGATTTTGTGCATATCTCACACACATGACGCTTTCCCTGGTCTTGGGCCACAGGGCGTTTCACGGGGTCTTGTATTACTTTAATGGTCGGCAAAATTTTCGGCACTGTCGGTGTGCGCGCTGGTACCTGTACTGTAGCGAGGGGAGCAGCCATTGGATATGTCTTGAACACCTGTGGTTCACCTGTGCGGGGGAAAAAAAAAAAAGGTGATAAAACTAAGGTTTTCACTTCTTAGTTTGATGGGTACAAAAGATACATTTTTAAAGCTTACATCCAAAACATTCACACAATACCTCATATCTCCTTCACTGCCAGTCAATTACTTCAAGCCGACACTTTTTTTTTTTTTTTTTTTTTTTTTTTTTTTTTAGATATATACAAGAGTTGTTACATTCTTGTACAGCCACTAGTACGCGTAGCGTTTCGGGCAAGTCCTTAATCCTATGGTCCCTGGAATACGATCCCCTGCCGCGAAGAATCGTTTTTTCATCCAAGTACACATTTTACTGTTGCGTTAAACAGAGGCTACAGTTAAGGAATTGCGCCCAGTAAATCCTCCCCGGCCAGGATACGAACCTATGACAGCGCTCGCGGAACGCCAGGCGAGTGTCTTACCACTACACCACGGAGACTTCAACCCGAGCCTAGTCTATTCCAGTCAAAACCCGTTTTTGGCATGCATCAAGAACAACCACATTTTCTTTCGGTCTTCTCTCCTCCAGGGGATACCTGCTTGATACCTGCTTGATGTGGTTCTGGGAGTTCTTCTACTCCCAAAGCCCAGCCCAAGGTCAGACTTGACTTGTGAGAGTTTGGTCCACCAGGCTGTTGCTTGGAGTGGCCCACAGGCCCACATACCCACCACAGCCCGGTTGGTCCGGAACTTCTTTCAGAAAACAGTCTAGTTTTCTCTTGAAGATGTCCATGGTTGTTTCAGCAATATTTCTTATAGTCGCTGGTGATCCCAACAATGAAAAAAAAATGAACTACTCTCAGCCCTAATGAAGGGAACCCCCACGAACACACACAGGGTAAATCCCTACACCTTAGGCAATGACAGAGACCGAAGAGCGTACACGCCTACCAACGTAACAAGACCCGAAGACAAAACTAAGCTACAACAATCCCCATGGAAAGACAAAAGATGTGCCGTGTCACCTCAAAAATACCGAAGGCCGTGTTTTTGTAAGTGGCAGGTTACATAAACGCACATTTTCAAGACCTACGGAATCGGTCAAGAAGACACTCCAACAAGGTAAGTCAAAGTTTCTGTTTTAAACTATATTTTGGAGTATGTTCACATTTGGACTTTACAGGTAAGCATTCCCACTTATCCGGATGTCCAGCATATCCGGTGAGGGCTCCTTCCCCTATAGTCCAGATAAACGAGAGTATTGTAGGCAGTAGTGTTCCGGCACTGTGAGGGGCAGTAGTGTTCAGGCACTGTGAGGGGCAGTAGTGTTCAGGCACTGTGAGGGGCAGTAGTGTTCAGGCACTGTGAGGGGCAGTAGTGTTCAGGCACTGTGAGGGCAGTAGTGTTCAGGCACTGTGAGGGGCAGTAGTGTTCAGGCACTGTGAGGGGCAGTAGTGTTCAGGCACTGTGAGGGGCAGTAGTGTTCAGGCACTGTGAGGGGCAGTAGTGTTCAGGCACTGTGAGGGGCAGTAGTGTTCAGGCACTGTGAGGGGCAGTAGTGTTCAGGCACTGTGAGGGGCAGTAGTGTTCAGGCACTGTGAGGGGCAGTAGTGTTCAGGCACTGTGAGGGGCAGTAGTGTTCAGGCACTGTGAGGGGCAGTAGTGTTCAGGCACTGTGAGGGGCAGTAGTGTTCAGGCACTGTGAGGGGCAGTAGTGTTCAGGCACTGTGAGGGGCAGTAGTGTTCAGGCACTGTGAGGGGCAGTAGTGTTCAGGCACTGTGAGGGGCAGTAGTGCTGCACAATGACAACCCCCTCACAACAAAGCTGGAGAAATTGATGACCTGGAGAGCATGCAGATCCTTTACTGCTAGAATCTACTCGTTAAAAGATCTAAACTATTCGGACTGACTAAAATGCCTAAATCTGTATTCTCTGGAGCACAGGTGGGAGAGATACATAATAATTTACACGTGGAAAATAGTAGAGGGGGCTGGTCCAAAACCTGCACACAGAAATAACACCACACGATATTGTCGCATTAACAGAGACGAAACTTGAAAAAATAGTTTAAATGAGGTCGTATTCCCAAGGGGCTACTCAGTTTGGAGACGTGACAGGAAAACTAGGAAGGGGGTAGGAGTGGCTGTGCTGATGAAATAACACCTGAAATAAGAGAATTAATACCCTTGAGATATTGACATAATGGCGTTGCAGGTCTGGAATCAAGATGATCAGCCGATAATTTTAAATTACAGCCCACCTACAAACAACATATGGACAAAAGAAGAACCGGATGACAAACGAGAGGGCCTCATAATGGTCATGAGAGAATTATTGTAAGAGCTGACAAAGATAAATCCGAATTGCTGGTACTGGGGTACTTCAACTTTAAGGCAATAGACTGGGAGGCCTACGAGGCAAGAACAGAGTACATTTGGACAGGCAGATTTGTAAACCTCATCTTGGAGACATTCATGTATCAACACGTCAAGCAGGCCACAAGAATGAGGGAAGGGGATGTTCCGTCAGTACTGGATCTAGTATTAACCAGGAAAGAAGAGGTATTTGACATCCAGTACCTTCCTCCCTTGGGAAAGAGTGATCACGTCCTCTTGGACATTAAATACGCTATGCGATATAATCTGGTAGAGAATGGGGGACAGTGAAACAGTTGTTAAACTCTATTTCAAGAGAGAACGCTATGGGGAACTTAAAAAAAATTTTCATGGGTATAATTGGACAGACTTGTTGCTAGGCAAGGACGTAAATGAGATGTATGCATAATTTTGCAAAATATACAATGAAGGCACACAAACATTCATAGCAAAACAAACATGCAGAACTAGGAAACAGGGTTGGTTCAACCGAAATTGCGAGAGGGCCAGAGATCAAAAGACAAAGGCATGGAATCATTATAGGAAGAGGCCAAACCTAAAAACATACCAGCGATACAAAGATGCGAGAAACAACTACACGTCAGTAAGGAGAGAGGCAGAGAGGAAATTTGAGAACAGTATAGCAGACATAACATAGATCCAGGCCTTTTCTATAAATTCATTAAAAGCAAGCCACAGGTAAAGGATAATATTCAGAGGTTGAAAATGGGGGGACAGATACACGGAAAATGAAAAGGAAATGTGTGAAACATTAAACGAAAAGTTTCAAAGTGTGTTTGTACAAAATGAGATCTTCAGAGAACCAGACACATTAAGAATTCCAAAGAACAACATAGAGCACATAGAGGTGTCTAGAGATGAAGTGAAACAAATGGTCCTGGAGCTAAGTAAGAACAAAGCAGTTGGCCCAGATGGAGTTTCACCATAGGTTCTGAAAGAATATGCACCTGAGCTTAGCATTCCACTTCAGCTGATTTTTCAGACATCCCTGTGTACAGGAGTCGTAGCAAATGTGTGGAAAAAGGCTAACATAATTCCAATCTACAAAAGTGACAGCAGGGAAAGACCCCCACAATTATAGACCGGTATCATTGACAAGTGTAATAGTCAAAATATTGGAAAAAATAATAAAAACTAAATGGGTAGAACACCTGGAGAAAAATGATATAATATCAGACAGACAGTATGGTTTTCGATCAGGAAGAATCTGTGTATCGAATTTACTCAGTTTCTATGAGCGAGCCACAAAGATTTTACAGGAAAGAGATGGCTGGGTTGACTGCATCTATCTGGACCTAAAAAAGGCTTTCGACAGAGGTCCACAGAAGAGGTTGTTCTGGAAATTGGAACATATTGGAGGGGTGACAGGTACGCTTCTAACATGGATGAACAATTTTCTGACTGATAGAAAAATGAGGGTAGTAATTAGAGGCAATGTATCGGACTGGAGAAATGTCACAAGTGGAGTACCACAGGGTTCAGTTCTTGCACCAGTGATGTTCATTGTCTACATAAAGGATCTACCAGATGGAATACAGAATTGTATGAACAAGTTTGCTGATGATGCTAAGATAATAGGAAGGATAAGAAACTTAGATGATTGTCATATCCTTCAAGAAGACCTGGACAAAATAAGTATATGGAGCACCACTTGGCAAATGGAATTTAATGTGAATAAGTGCAATGTTATGGAATGTGGAATAGGTGAACATAGATCCCACACAACCTATAAATTATGTGAGGAATCTTTAAAGAATTCTGATAAAGAAAGAGATCTAGGGGTGGTTCTAGATAGAAAACTTATCACCTGAGGACCACATAAAGAACGTTGTATGAGGAGCCTATAACACGCTTTCTATCTTCAGAATTACTTTTAAATACATGGATGGCGATATACTAAAGAAATTGTTTACGACTTCTGTTAGGCCAAAGCTAGAATATGCAGCAGTAGTGTGGTGCCCATATCTTAACACTTTCGTCCGGTGATGACGCAGCATTGCATCATCCGTTTACTGTCGGTAATCTCGGTGATGACGCAATGCTGCGTCGTCCACTAAAATAATTGCCAAAAATCAGGTTTTTATCCGATTTTTTGGGGACTGGTTTTAAAATGTGCGCCTATCGTGATGGAACAACCTCAGTGCAGCAGGTAACTGTCAACAAGCCGAATGCAATCTGTGACTACAATACAAACATGAAAGGTGTTGATCACTTTGACCAAATGATCAAATATTATCACTTCACAAGGAAAACTCACAAATGGGCGAAGAAAATGACCTTCTATTTTGTGCAAATGGCTATCTACAATGCTTATGTGATGTACAACTACTACACAACAGATAGAAGGAAACTGACATTACTCCATTTCCATGAACAAGTCATTGCTGCACTATTGTTCTATAAGCCTAGTAACTGGCCTGAGGAAGATGATGACATCCCACATGCTGCTGATGTCAATGCCACCGGAGCCAATGTTGCAACACCAGTACCATCAATACCCAGACCTTCAACAGCAGGACCTTCAGGTGTGAGGCGCCCACTATTCACTTCACCTGAACCACTATTCACTTCATCGTCTGAGTCAGAAGACAAGGCTGTGATTATCCCTAGTGGTGCTTCTGCTGCAACAAGACCCCGTATTGTGGATAATCC